CTTTTTAAAACTATAATACTGCTGTCATATTAATAATAATTGTTCTTCCTATGTCAGTGGCGTAATGGCTGAAGGTGCATGTGTTTATGTGTGTGTCTAAGGCCAAACTTAGCATAAGGAGGCTTTGAAAGCATCAGAGTCACTGTATCCTCTCTCCATCACAAATCCCCTTTACGGTCAACTCTGTTCACAGGCATTGGTCAGCTGTCAGATCAACAACACGCTATTTATACCCTGCAGGTGTTAGCCCAGTTTGCTCCGAACCGTTAGTTGTTGTGCGGTGAGTGTCAGAGTGGCTCCTCGTTCAGCCGTCAGGCTCAGGAGTGTGATTTTGCTGGATATCTGTGGGCCAGGTGGAGGACTGTGATAATGCTGTAGCTCTAATCCGTTCTGAAATCTGTGCAGTCATGCTCTGGGGTTTCAGCAGGAGCGTCAGCTCTCACTGGCAGAAGGAGAGGTTTTAAATGCGGAAGAAGAGCGTCCAGGCTGAATCAGGCAGAGCTATCTCAGGACAGTCGATTTCTTCCAGGTCACCAGAGTCATCTCAGCTGGACTGACTGCAGGAGATCTCCGGCACACAGGTACACACGCTCTGCTCATGTGCTCCTGCTGCTGCTCTCGCTCTCTGCAAGGTTATAAATGTGCACAAAATATGAGTAAGCCTGCCCTAAAACTCTCTTTTCTCTGTCTTTCCATAAACCACGCTAAATGCGGATGGATCATGACCGTATTCTCTTCTGGACATCTGCTCATCCTCCGGTGAGTGGCAAGTTTTGTTCTGACACACACTAGCAGTCTAGAGTTCAGACACACTGAGTTTATGTTTCTTATTATCATAAAACCTTCTGATATATGGGTTCCTTCCTAAATGCATAAAAATGAGCTCTGTAGACAAATGCAATTGTGATTTTCTTTCGTGGCGAAGGAGAAGCATCATTACGTGCTCCTCACATCCTGATGACGTTGGCAGATGAATGTCAATGCTCAAAGTTTTCATTTAAGTCACGTGTTTTGATCACAGCATCACTCGCAGACAGTGTTGGGAGTAACGCATTACAAAAGTAATAATATTACAGTAGTATATTACGTTTAGCTGTAACGCAGTAATATAACGCATTACTAATAAAATTTGGGTAATATTATTACTCGTTACAATCTCAGTAACGCAAGTTACAACAACATATTACCGTACTAACACCGCAAAACAGCACCAGAGAAAAAATTCCGCGGGTAAAATAGTTTGTCTATCTTCTGTTGCTGGAATTAGATGGTTGAGATGACTGCAGAGACGGATTCTACATTTGTGAGATGGACACACTCCTGTTATTTT